ATACTTTTAATTTACATAATAGAGGTCAGTTTTATGACCGCACGAGTTTTACTCAGGTAATTCAAATATCATATAGGTTCGACTGATTCGACTGGACCTAATTCTGTTAGGTCCAGTCAAATCACTTTAACCATTACCTAGTAAGTTTTAAAAAAACCCTGATACATAGAACATAATGTATCATGCTATGCTTGTAGTGCTTATATGTACAGGACTTTAAGGATACATAACACAAACAAAAATTTGATGCATGGATTTATGTATATTTTTTGACTGATTTTGAATGCAAATGACATAAATAATCAATCCCTAAAATATAAAGAAATCGTAAGTTTAAGTTTTCTTTGGTACTTACATATGCAACTTTGTATCCTTTTTTATGTAATTCTATACAAAATTTTGCACATATTTTTTGACATTGTGACAAAATCTTACAAAATTCTCTCACTTTACATGGAAAATATCATTCAGGTTACCTATTTGAATATTAATCTATGAAAAATATTGCCGATTTCCGAAAAAAAAAGTTTGTTTGTGCTATTTATCCTTAAAACAAGACAAGCTGCTTAAAGACTGCTGGAAGGAATTTTAAGGCTGAAATAGTGCTTATAAATGGGAAGATGTTTTTAAACCTTATATATTTCTTCCTGGACCCAAATTAGACTAAAAGTGTGCAAGCACTTAATTTGATAAAATTTTCAGAATAAATGAGAATTTTAACATAAAAAATATAGAGAAAACTACCAATATTTATGTGTCATTGATAGTACGTGAAGGTATTCAAATTGAACAGGGATTGCGCTATATTATAGAAACAACTTGATATACTATTGACCCTTTACTAGATTACTGAAATGTTCTTGTTTTTGAAAAACGGTTTCTGTAACACTGACCCAGAAAAAAATCTTTAATTAGACTTTCAAAATATTGACGAGTACATTCAAAAGGGCAAAGATGTAAATATGTTTTAAATAATGTATACGTATAACGATTTTAGAAAATCGTTTGAATAATGTTATTGAGATTTAATTTTGCAACTTGTGATGTCAAGTTTTTCAGGAAGGTAAATGCAAAAGTAATTGGACACGGATTGTTCTTCCTTAAACGTGCTTAGAACGAGTTTTCAGAAAGTTGAAAAAGGTGCATATAATCCAGTGGAAACCTGAGTAGAAACAAAGGTAAGCTATTTACAACCAATATACATGTTTATACGCTGTATATATTTAAATTGGTGGACAAAGTCACATGATTTTAGATGAAATTAATTATCAAAAGTAATATTTAAAATTAATCTTATATATTTGTCTGAAATTTGTTAATATTCTTTATGTTGTAAAATCTTGAGAAATGAAAGGAAATAAATAATAATAAATTAAGCCATGTTCATCAGGATTTGCGTCATATATATCCTTAACCGCCTTGTCCTTTTGGTGCATAACAAAAAACAAAGTTCCGGAAAGCATTGCCTTTTAGCTGAAAACAAAAATATGATAAGCTTGTGTTTCTCTCAGTATACTGTCCTTAATGTAAATCCACTTCTTTTGAAAGAAGAATAATTGAATACGGGGGAGTAATGTGTAGGATGCAAATAATAAAAAAAGGAAGTACATATTTGATATAATTTACAGATATAATGATAATGTTTTCTTTAAAATTGATGAAAGCAGATACTCAAGTTGCTTGATCAGTCAACCTGATGTGTTTATTTTGAATGCATGTAAGTAAACTCTATAGCATCACATAACAGCTTCTGAGTCATTCTATTCCAGTAACAATACTATTTACGTCACTGACCAATAGAATACGCAGTTTATTTATATCTTCTCATACGGAATAATCACAAATACACAACTACAAACTACACTACTTTTATAGGAAGTATTTCTCTTTGCTTACTAAAAAAGTATTCTACTTATGAATGAGGAAACTTCAGTTTGTGTAAATAGGACAAGCTTATTGGAGAAACGTAAGTCAGATTTACTATAGTTTGTAAATTCTGACAACTGATGTTTCATTTATGATTGTTATCTACATTTTCAATTATTTATTGTGAAATTTTCCCTATCCACATAAATATTGCTTGTATTTCAGATTTTGTTGAAATATTTTTTAAATGAAAAAAAATATATCCAGAATTGATAATAGCAGAATCGATTATATTGATTTTAGCAGAATTTTTTATTACCAGTATAAGAAAAAAAGTATAGAAAATATTATTTCTTTTATATATGTGTCTGAAAGTAAATCTTTTATTTTCCTTATGGTCCACATGGGTATTTTTTATTTAAATCATCAAAAAGTCAACATCTGTGTAGGGAGATTGTAATATGCTTGTTGTGAAAGGAAAAAAAAAAGAATATTTGCGCGACAATCTCTTTCAACCCAGTCTCCAAGATCTCTCAATGATCTCTCAAGCAATGAAAACCCCAGTAAGCTCAATTGTCTATCTGTAATCTCCCAATGATCCTTCTGACATTTCTATCTTAAGATGTTCAGAGTATTTTGTGTTCTTTGAGGGACCTCTATAAGATTGTTGGGAAACCAAAGAGATCGATCGTTGGACATTTTTTATGCGCTCCTTGGGCGTTCTTTGAGAGACTACTTACTTTTGCGATCGCGGGATGTTTTAAAGTCAAAACTTTGAGGAGACTGTTGAGTCCTTTAAGAGATCAATGGAAAATATTGGCAATGAAAAGGTTAATATTGAAATATCATTGAAAAAACTTGAGAAATCTAACTAAATTTTCAAAGCTCAGCAAAATCTCTACGTCGCCACCTCTGTGTGAAAAGGGATTTGAACAACATTTTAAGACCATTCGGTTCCAATATTTGAGCACCCCAGTTCCTTGTTTGAGAATGTCTTGCGCATAAATGCCATCAATTCAAACCATATAGAAAACTTTTAAACTGAAACATTTATGTGCAAAGTTTGTTTGCTAAATGTCTACGGGAAACCAAAATTCTGTTTACATTCACTCTTTCACCAGTTTAGTCATAAACTGAAACTTGAACCCTAGTCAGAAGACATATACTACTTACAGTGTTTCAAATTTTTTGTAGAAGGATTAGACATTTCTCGTCGTGATAAAGCACACATGTAACTTGTTTGCTGCGTTTTTTGGAATAAACATTTTAAAGATTGCACAACTTTTTGAAATTTGACACCGGTATTGTTAATTTTGATCTGAAGAAAATTTTATTAAAATGAATATAATGTTCACCGATTCAGATTTACGGTTTTTCCAATTTAAGATGAATCCATACAATAGATTTGTTGATAACAATCCTAAATAGTCTTTTTCAAATAAATAAATTCAACATGTGAAACTTCAGTCTCATGAAATTCCTCTATTTGAGTTAGTTTTTTTTTTGGCGACACTCTATAATAGTCTTGTGTTACAAATTATCATTTGACAAAATGAAATATGTCAGTAAGGGCAGTATGTTAGGTGCTTCGTCTGCTTTCCATGGATACTTAATTGATGATTTAAAATTTTTACTGATTTTGAACTCGAATAACCTCTCGTTTCTATAATTAATTTGACTTTAAATGTGTCTTTCATTTAAATGTGGAGTCGGTAAAAAAATGGGTTATTGTTTTAATTTCTTGATATCTTTGAAATGCAGTTGATTTGAATTGTGTAATTTACAGAAAATTTCTATCTTTATTATAAAGTAATAAATCAAATAGGAAGTTATTTTTAATTTTGGTTTTCTGAACTTATCAAAAATACGCCATATATGACTTTAAAGATTCACATACCCTGTTAACTTAAAGAAAACAAACATGTTTTTACGATATCATTAATTTAAGACCCTGTTTGTTTTGTCTCCATAGCAAAATTCAAAAAAAGGTTCCTGGTCGGAAAACTGTTTTGAGTGATGTTCTTTGTATTCAGATGCTAGCCTAGTACAAGGATGTTTATTACCCAAACAGTCTGCATAGAGCATAATTAAAGATCATATATCTCATTCTCTCCCTCTCTCCATCTCTGATATAAAAAAAATGGAGCACTGAAATAAACATTAAAATATTTACATGATTGCTGGAAGAAATTTACTAATGGATGATAAAAATGCTTGCATGTAAATGGGAAGAAATTTGAAAAGGAAAGCTTAAAACAAATATAATATATTTGTTCCTGGATCCGAATGCGTTAAAACAAATAGAATCGTTAAATGAATATCAGAAGTAATATACATGGACTTGACCATCAATGAAAATTGTTATATCTCTGAATTTCTGTAGAGGAATTAAAACAGAATTAATGGATTGGATTAAATGTTGTAGAAGTAACAGTGAAATATAATTAGGAATGTCTTATCCAATTTTTCTATCTTCTTCAAACAAAATAAATGTAAGTACATGTAACATCTATATATGTTTAAAAAAAAAATCCATATAAAAAAATGTAGAAAATTTTTCTCGAACTTATGATTAATTGTTATTATTAATCATATTATAAAATTGTTGCCAATATGATTTATTAAAAAAAAAGAAAAAAAAAGCGAAAAATGCCATCTTGACAAATGGTAAATTATGTAGTACTCTACTTAGATTGACAAGGATCAAAATTATAAGAAAAGTAACTTTATGTAGCCATGACCATCCTGTTTTAGCTCCCGCCTGAAGAATAAGAACTAAAACATAACAAGGAAGGTTTTTATTCGTTGTAAAAGGCCATGAATGAAATTGACGATAACATAGCTGTTCTTGAAGTACTCCTTACTTAGTTAATTCTTTATCACTACTATTGTAACAAGAAATCAATTCGTCGACAAAGATTTATTTATTTTTTTCAGATTTAAAGTAATCAGGTGATTCTTACGTAACTTTGCTGCCGGTTTTCTAATTTGTATACTAATTTTTAACCCAATAATAAACACTTTTACGTCATCAGCCAATCAAAAGACCAGTTATTTTTATCTTCTATAGGAAGTACTTCTCGTGTTTAAAAGTTAGAGAATATGAATGAATGAACTTCAGTATTTATTTGCAGGACGGGTTGAAAGACGCGGATTTGTTAAAATGTGAGGGAAAATGTGTATGATTCTTGCTATATATTTATAAATGGTAAGATTGAAGTTTTTTACTTCTTTAATAATATATACTCAGATTGAAGATTTCATTTAATCATCTTTTTTCTAACACTTTAAGACAAAAAACAACATTAATATGTTCTTGTTACGAAAGCAATGAATTTGAGTAAATTTAAAGGTGTGATTTGAAGAATACATATATCATTCACAGCAAAAATAAACATGTACCTATGTACACAGAAACAAAAAAATAATCGATGGATTTTTTTTAGGCTAGAATTTTGTAATTTCAAAATAAGACCTGATTCTGCAAAAATAAAATTACTTTGATAAAAGAGCGCTTTTAACTATTTTTCAAAAATCGGCAAATGCAAATATTAGCTTCAATAATTAATCGTTTGAAGGGTTAAATTAAGCACCAATGTTTGCTTTACAATGATAGCTCTGTAATGTTCCACTTCTCTTAACAGGTTCCTCCTTCTATCATTGAAGCAGGATGAAATTAGAGTTGGTCACGTATTTAACGTTAATGGTGCTCTCTGGGATCTGTATTCACAGTGTTCTAGGCCGGAAAAAACGACGCGAAAAACCTGTGGTCTGTGAGCCAGGCACGAACACCTTTTATCACAGTCAAGCGGAAAAATGTTTAGAATGTGACAAATGTAACGAAGGTTACTCGCTGGTCCCCTTGCAGGTCCATAATTTTACTATACTTACAATATTAAATGAGAGAAAAATGAGTATATACAGGGCTACTGTGTACGTGTACTTCCGAGACTTTTCTTCATTAAACATAAACTTAAATGTTAAAAGTTTGAGAATATATTAAATTGCTCATATCTTTCACATAATATACAATTCAATGATACTTTGATATTCAAATGTATAGGAATACAACCTTAAAATGGACCCTGTTCATGGAGCTTTGAACTGTTTGCCGTGCAGAAAGTGTTTACCAGGAACATACAACGACAGACGGACTTTCGAGCTAACCTGTAGAACTTGTAGAAATTGTACAGCTCTTAGAAAAATAGAAGAAAGCCCATGTACACCTACTGCTAATGCTATATGTGGGGATGATATAGAGTAGGTATTCTAGTATTCCAGTGAAAAAAAAGACTATCTATTCTAAAGTTTGTATCTTATAAACCTACTCTTCTAGATACACTGTATTAATTTGACTTCAAATTCACGACAGATTTCCAAGCACACAACGAATGAAAGTTTCAGTAGATGAGCTAAGAGTTGATACCATGCCATATCAAGGTTAGACATACCAATTTTCCAGTTAGTAATGAGTACATGCATTACTGTCAATCCCTTCACATAAATAAATCTTCCCCCGAGCGAAGCAGGGGCCCCCTTTTGTGTCCAAAAATATACATAAGATTTAACAAAGCAATTTTTGGTGTTGTCCCTGGGTCCCCAGCCCGACCCGCAACTGGTCCCCCAACCCCCTTTTCAAGAATCCTGATTCCTCCACTGAAAATTGTATATCCATCAACAAGATATTTTAAAGTAAAATAAAATTTCTCTGGTTATTTCTAGGTCTGACACCCCAGACTGTGTTACTAGTCATTATCATGAGTCTTCTAGGATTTCTCATTCTTTTCTTCACTGCCTTTATCTTCATCCGCCGTGCTCAGAAACACAGCATCAGTGATCAAAACAGTAAGACACATTTCATATCCGTCTATAGTCACATATTTTATATTTCATGTACATTTATTTCATTTCACTCGATAACTTTTATATTTTTAGCATCGAAAGAAAAGGGCAAGAAGGAAGAAGTTTCCCTTTTGTACCTAAACAAGTAAGTAATGATATATGTGAATAAGGATATGAATATATACTTAGAATGCATTGATTGTTAGTAACCATTTAATTTTGGACACCTTTGAACAATTTTTTGAAGCTCTCAAGGAAACGTTTCTGCAAAATCCAAATCGACTGACTTGGAAACTATCAATATGACAACAGAAAATGAGGAAACCCGTCCCAAAGAAAAAATACATACCAGAAAAATTACCTTAGAAAATGTCAGAAACCATACAGAGACGGAGAGTAATAGAACCTTAGTAACAAATAAACTATCAGAATCCACGATAGAGAAGACACCAAAGCTGTCCAATAGCAGCTCATGGTACATACATACGTCGGAGATGCAGTCAGAATTCCAAGGAACACAATTTACCATTGGTTACACGAATCTCGCTTTATCTCGTTCGTTAACTTGTCCATCCTCAGACAAAAGTTCAGAACAAATTCTGGAAGACGAATCTATGGATATGTTGTCCGAATTTTCATATGTTTTAGACTGATGTGTTCATTGAAAGTCCAGAATGCATTTACAGACAAAAAAACTTTACAATTATATAGTATACTTTATTGAAATCTTATACATATTTATTTATTGTCCCACACAAGATACATGTATTTTGCTTTCATGAAATTTTATATGAAATTATTACTAATTTTGTATGAAAAATCTCACTAGTATTTTTATGTGTAACAGGGATCATGTACAGACTTAGTCAAAATTTAAATTAATAGTCATATACTTATTAATTATGGGGTTAAACTCAAAATATTGAAAGAAAAGGACTTTGATGATGATGGTGCTATATTGAATTTTGGACTGTCCTTAAGGACAATATACATAAATTGATTTAAGTGTAAATTATTTTGTTATCCTGGGGCCAGTAGTACTTTTATGTAGTTTTAGTATTGTAACAATTGTCAAGGTGAACGCTTAACCTTTAATCATATCTACTATATCTTTGGTGAATGGAAAATTTATTTTTCCTATTCCAGCTAATCATGTTCTTCCAGGAAGAAATACGATGAGATAATTTTTCATATCTTGTCATTTTAAAAACCTGTTCGATTAAAATGATAAAATGCAAGAACTTTTTACCTATAAATAATGTTTGCGTAGGAATTAACTTTTCATGTGATTATTATTGACATTACGTAATAGTCGTATACTTGAAGAATACAACCTTATTACGGTATTGATACAGTCAAAGTTTACGTAGATAAAATTTTAGAATTAAACCAATGGTGTAAAGGAGGATGTTGATTAACCAACCAGACGTGTATACTTCTTTATTGTGTACTTGTTAGAATTATGTAAAGGAAGTACTTTAGGTTATGAATGAATGAAATTTTTTTTTACACAGTTGGAGCATACACTATTGAATGATTCTCGATGAGAACTATCAAGGTTGTAGAATATATTTTCCCCCCGAAATGTATTATATGGTTCAAAGGTCCATTAATTAAATAGCATATTTCATACATTCTTATTTTAGCCAATACATACATGTGTATTCATCCCTCCTTGTTCCGGAAGTACAGATTTGTACTAAATATTTGTTTATATTTAGGTCACATGAGCTACTCAGGTGATCAATTGCTACCTTTTTTCGTCCGTCGTCGTACGACTTGCGTCGTGTGTTGATCGTAAATTTTTTAACATTGTTAGCCCTTTTTCTAGAACAGCTAAACCAGTTTCAATCTACATGTACATTTATATAACATCTATGGGCAAAGGGGAATGAAAGGTGTAACCAAAACTATAAAAATTAAGTTTTCAAAAATGTTCTTTACTCCTGGACATCAATTATAATGAACATTGAGTCTTTTACCAAAACTGTGATATTTAAAGTTCAAGCCCTAAGGATGGGCTTAGTTGATTTTTTTGTTTGTTTGTTGTTTAACGTCTCTCTCGAGGATTTTTCAATCATATGGAGACGCCACCATTTGCCGGTGGAGAGCTGCAACTTTTTCTAGAACAGCTAAACCAGTTTCAATCTACATGGTACATTTATATAACATCTATGGGCAAAGGGGAATGAAAGGTGTAACCAAAACTATAAAAATTAATAGTTTTCAAAAATGTTCTTTACTCCTGGACATCAATTATAATGAACATTGAGTCTTTTACCAAAACTGTGATATTTAAAGTTCAAGCCCTAAGGATGGGCTTAGTTGATTTTTTGTTTGTTCGTTGTTTAACGTCCCTCTCGAGGATTTTTCAATCATATGGAGACGCCACCACTTGCCGGTGGAGAGCTGCAAATTTTGACCTATGCTCGGCACTCAGGGCAATTGAGCAGTGAGGGATCTTTTTCGTGCCAACACCTACTGCGACACGGGACCTCGGTTTATACGGTCTCATCCGAAGGACCGGTCTCCACGTCCCACAGTGGGATTCGAACCTGCGACGTAAGGATCAACTCATTACTCCGCGACTCTAGAGCAGACGCTCTACCACTGCGCCACGCGGGCGACGGCTTAGTTGATAATATGTTCTTTCCTCCTGGAAATCAAGGAGGCAAAATGTGTGCATGATTATAAAATGCTAAAAAAGGAACCTGAACTCTACCGATTTGTGAAATTCTTGGCCACAGGGTTCAAATCCCAGACTGAATTATGACATATACTGAAGATGCAATATATTTAAGAAATTCTTCTCTACTCTTAGACAAAGTGATGGAAAAGTTATGATAAACAAGTCCTTCACCAAAACTTTGAAATTCATGACCCCTAGATTCAGGCTCGGGGTGGGGCTAACTTTGTCTTATTTTGAAAATGCATTATATTTTTAAAAACCATTTGTATTCCTGGATATCAAGCAGACTGTTTGCGCGATTTTAAACTGTGACATTCATATCTTTATTGTGGGGCTAAGTTGATAATAAATTGAAAATGTATTACATATTTAAAAATTTTCTTCATTACCGGTCGCGGTAGCCTATATTGGTGGGGCGCTCTTCGTGATCGGAAGGTACCAGGTTCGATTCTCGTTCCCGTTGCCACGTCAAACTTAAGACGTTAAATAGGTAGTGACTGTTGATTTGTCAAGAGCCCGGCAATAGAAGTGAAAGTCACGGACCTTTCGGATGAAACCTTAAAAACCGAGGTTCTGTGTCACGGTAGGCGTTGGTACTATGAAGAACCCTCACTGCCGAGTAAAGGTTTAAATTTGAAGCCCTTCACCGGTATACATATGGTGACGTCTCATATGAGTGAAAAATTCTCGCAAGGGACGTAAAACAATTAATATAATCATACAATCTTCTTCATTACTTCTTGACATTTATAGCTGACAAACTGTTTACATGATTATAATATGCATTCAATGTTCCTTCAACCAAACCATTGAATTCCATGTGCCCCAGTGTGAAGGAGAAATAAATCATATTTTTAAAATGCATTATATTTATTCAGAATCTTTTGCCGTTTGCCTGAATATAATGAGCAATTTGCCCTTTTCCAAAATTGTAAAATTCATGACCCTCTGGTCCATGATACATGCTCAAGGGTGGGACAGGGTTGATTTTATATTGAAAATACTAGTATATTGCAGTTTTAAAAGTCTTCTTTACTAATGGACATCTAGCAATCAAATTGTTTGCCTGAATACAATGATTGAATAAAGAACTCTTTGCAAACTTATAAAATGTATGACCCTTAGGTCCAGATTTTCAGGATGGGAATTGGTTGTATATTGAAAGTACATAATGTCTTTTTAAAATCCTTTTCTTTAATTCTGGACGTCCAGCAGACAAAGTGTTATCATGAATATAGTAAGTGGCTTTCTACCAAAATTTTATTTTCTTCCCAGTTCAGAATTCTGGCCCAAGGATTGAGCTTAGCTGGTCTTAGATTGAACATTCATGATTAAATTTCGTTTATTCCTTGAGATTTAGCTGCATGGTGGTAGCTAGAAAGTTACATTGTATTTGATCTTTATCAAATTGTGTTCCCATAGTTCAGGCCCAAGAATAGGACTAGGAAGATATGTATTTAGTATGCACTTTATTTTTATACTCATTTTTCTCATCATATAGGAACAGACTTCATAAATTTAGTGAGCATAGATTCCTCAACAAATTGTAAAATTCATGTCATATGAGTGCAGACTTCCATATCAAGGTGGAAATTTGATACTCAGGTGCCCGCCAAGGCCCACTGGTCTCCCCCTTTTTAAAAATAATATTAAAAGGTCATTTATTGCACTCTTTTCCTGTCTGCCCCCATGTATTGTTCGAAAGCATTTGAAAAGTTTCAGCTTCCTCTAAGACATGACTTTATCCTTTCCTTTACCTCTCTGTACATATATGATGGGCATTCAGAATTCTACAAAAATTTAAAATTTTATGAACTCTGGGGCCCAGGACTATAATAATAAGATCAACGAACGAGGCTACATATGTAGTATAATCAGTTTTATTTTTGAACATCTTTTTTTTTTATTCTTGCATATCTAGCAGGTTTTGTTTGTTTGTTTGTTGTTTAACGTCCCTCTCGAGAATTTTTCAATCATATGGAGACGCCACCACTTGCCTGTGGAGGGCTGCAAATTTATACCTATACTTGGCACTCAAGGCCATTGAGCAGTGAAGGATCTTTTTCGTGCCAACACCTACTGCGACACGGGACCTCGGTTTATACGGTCTCATCCGATGAACCGGTCTCTGCGTCCTGCAGTAGATTAGAACTCGCGACGTAAGGATCAACTCCTTACTCCGCGACTCTAGAGCAGACGCTCTAACCACTGCGCAACGCGGGCGACGCATATCTAACAGGTAAACATTTGCATGAATATATCATTAATCTACCGTTGACCAAAATTGTAAAATTCATCAACCAAGGGCCAGGGTTGCAATTATATTTAACTTCCCAGCAAAAGCCTTAGGAGTTACAGTTGTACAGTTGTAACGTATCCCCATGTCTGCTGGTCCATTTATCACAAACATATAACCAAAAAATCAATTAACAGATGTGCATAACTAATAGAAAGATTACATATGACCAAAGTACATGTAGCTATCACAAAAAATAACCCAAAGTCATTCATACACAGTGAAGGTTGTTGGAAGGAAACGTGTGATTATCTTTAAGTTGCAATATAGAAACATTGGCAAAAAGAGGGGTGGTGGCGATAGAGTTGATATTAAGAAGGTCAAGGCCAGCAGGAGCAACACATGGAATTTTAAATTGTAGCAAGCTTGTGACAGATATGATGAACATGATAAACCTATGATTGACATTGAAATGGTTTCTGGGAATGTTTGGAAATACTCATAATACTCAGTTGACTCTCAACGCCTACGAACGTCCTGTTTACTTATATAAAACGGGTATGTGAAAATGGAAAAACTACGCTTTGCAAGAATTTAACAGTCGTAAATTCAGTGATCTTTACCCATAGATGTGCTTTTAAATCGATGAATAATTTAACAAGACGTTCAAATCAAGAAATGAATCCCATCCTATGTATGCTATTCTACGTCAATTTATTCATGGTCAGATACTGTTACCGTTACATACACACACGCATAAAATAAAAATAAAATAAAAAAAAAATAGTAAAAACATCCAAGGACATTTGCTTCTCTTCAAATAAAACAGACATCTTCCTTTATTTTATTCGGTTTTAAATCAAATACTCATCTATTTTCATCCAACTTTCTACACAAGTCATCATTCCCTATTTTATGAATAAACACAAATCTTCTGTGTGATCATTAAAATGGATGTACGTGCAATATTTTGGGATTAAAAGACCCTCTAATCGGTAACCCCATGACTTAAAAGTTGACACGGTACTGCGATGGGTGGTAGACCTTAACGAAATTTTCTCGTACGAAAACATTTTCTAAATATCAGTTACATGTACATTAGATCATGACCACTACCCTTTCCTGTTTCAGAGGGATATGACATTGATGGTGCACGTCTGTATAAAAGTTATACATCATTTAGTGTGAACCCTAGTAAACAAGCATTCTGAGAGTATTGCATTAGCAATACTAGTCCCCTACCGGCAAGTGTAATCTGGTTCCCATTAAAAATACTGTAATTCCGTCAAAAAATCATTGAAGCGGAACATAATGCAAACTTGATCTGTAACTCATCAAGATACACTCA